AAAGCCACAAATATCAAGTTCCCACGCTTATGTTCACATCTCTTCATGCTTATGCCACTTGCTTTCTATGTAACCCAATCATCCTCTGAATGTATATTCCTCTAACTTTTGCTTCTTGCATGCTGCCCTCTGTGTTTGCCTCATCACTGGATAGTGTCTTCAGCCATCAACAGCCTAAGCTCCAAAACAAAGAAACATAGAAGATAGGAGCAGCAGGAGGCCATGTGGCCCTTCGAGCCTGCTCCGCCTTTCTTCACAATCATGGCTGATTGTTCAATTCAATAGCCTAATCCTGCTTTCTCCCTATAACCTTTGATCCCATTCACCCCATGTGCTGTATCTAGTTGCCTCTTGAATACAAACTCATTCCCCTAACCTTTCTCTCTCCCTCATTTTAGACCATGTTTAAAATACATATCTTGAACAAATGTCTAGTGACTCCATAAACCTCCTTTAGCACATATAAATGTATTTGTCAACTATGTTTCTTTGAATTACCTTGTGACATTTTCTACATAAAGACCATTATATCTGAATTCAGTTTTGCCTGTTGAGTGCGGAAATCAGGATTAATTAGATTTCTGGAATTGACATTAATGCCAAAGTATTGAGAGATTACATCTGAAAAGTAGGGACTTTGTAGTGAACCTTTTCTATTGCTGGATAACATGAAGGGTTCTTCAATTTCTGTTTCCTTTTCTTTTGATTCACAGGTTAACTCATGTGATCAGAACTTGAATCGCTGCTGTGAACTTATTGAACTGACCTCAAAAGTTCAAGGAGAATTATTCGCCATTCTCAGTCTCACAGCAAGTGAAGGTATCACTTTTAAAACATCAAGTCTTATTTCTGCATTTCTCTTTCACTGCTCTGTGTTTTTGGAAGAAAGTTCACTTCAGTTCTTTTTACTTTAGTTACTTAGATTGTAGGCACCAATTTCCAATCCATTTTGGTCATCAGTAGAAGGATTTATTTTTGAGGGCAGTGGGTGAAAACCGAATTCAGATGCCAGACTTTTACATGTATCAAAAAAAAACTTTGTTAAAGCTAGCTGAGGAATACTTTCAGTAGATTCTGAGATTTTCAGGCTTTTGTGAAAGAAGAGGTTTGAATGTGCATTGTCTTTTTGTTTGCATCGTTCTCTATTTCTAGCCCCTATGTTTTGCTTTAAGTGCCTGGCAAAAACATGGAGAAGGCTGCGTTATTGAATTTGGGAGAGGAAAGTCCTTTTTTTTTTGCAAAATTTTCAGGATCATTAAAGCTGATGAATTTGGGGGTGAAAATTTTGTCTATTCTCCTGACCCGCCATCAGAACACCACATTGGCTGAAATCAGGACCCAGTTTTTATTTAATGATAATGTGATCAATTAAATGTCTGCTTCTGGGAGACCTGATCAATTAGGAATGGAATTAGGATCCTGACATTGGAAGGCCAATAGGAAGCTCCCTTCCCATCAGTGGGAGCTGCCGATGTAAATTGTTGAAGGCTCGAGGTGGAGGTGCCCTCTGAAAAAGCTTTAAAAACTTTAAATAATTTGAGGCCACAGTTGCCAAAGTTGTTGTGGAGAGGATCTGCTGTAGTCAACTTGCACTCCCTGCCAGGGGGAAGGAATAAAAATGATAAATGAAGCACTGTTCCCCAAACCCCCATCAAACTGTTACCAGGAAGATACGTCCATTCATCAGCCAGAACTCACGGTTTTGTAGGAAAGGTGGGGGGAAAACTCCAGTTGGCATTTACACAATGCCCTTAATTGGCTCATTCAGGGGCATACTTGGCTGCCTCACACATATAGCTATCCAACCTTCATGACTGACCTCCCATCCTCCCAAAAAGGTTAGCCCAGTCATTCAGATCCAAATGTCCTCAGCTTGTTGCTCATTGGAGTGTAGATCTGTATTCGCTGTAAGTTACGTCAAAGGTGAAAGTGGTGTGCATATAACTTATTCATGTTTGCTATGTGTTTGGAAATTAATGCTTTCAAGGATGGCAGGGATAGGTACAGCGAGTCAAGAGGTGAATATTTTATCTATTAATTTGATCCGGTAGGCTCTTCTTATAGGGGTGTACTTCCTGCCTGAATTTCCTACATTCACTGCACACCACCATTCCAGCACAACAAAGGAATGCAGGAACAAGATAGTAGGCTATTCAGCCCATCATTGTTTTGCCATTCAATGAGATCATGGCTAATCTGTGGCTTGCCAGGAAAATCTACACTACAATCATTATGAGATTATATTGGCATTTTTGTTCTATATATTAATGATTCGGACATTGGTGTACAAGAAAATTTCAAAGTTTGTGAATGACAATGAATTTGGAAGTGTTGCAAACTCTGAGGACATCAGTGAATAACTTCAAGTGGACATAGCTGATGGAATAGGTAGATATATGGCTGATAAAATTTGGTCTGTGATAATGTGAAGTGATTCACTTTGGTGGAAAGAATGAAGAGAGGGTTTATACATTTTAAAAGGTACCATTTTAAAATAGGTGAAGGAACAAAAGCCTGGAGGTCTCTGGGCACACGTTGCACATAGCAGAGCAGATTGGCAAAGTGATCAATAAATGTATGTGGTCCTAAACTTTATAAATAAAGTTGAAGTACAAATAGCATGGAGGTCATGATGAACTCTTGTAAACTGTTTCTTCAGCCTCAACAGTAATTTTGTCCAGTTCTGGACACCACACTTTAAGAGTGATGTGAAGGCATTAGATTGGGTGCAGAAAAGATTCCTGAGAATAGTTTCAGTAATGATGAACATCTGTCATGAGGATAGATTGGAGAAAACAGACCTTTACTCTTTTTTGAAGAATAGAATGTCAAGAGGAGATTTAATTGAGGCATTCAAAATCACCAGGACTTTAGAAAGAATAGACAAGGCAAAAGGCTTGAGAGCCAGTATACACTGATTTTAAGGCAATTAGCAAAACCAAAGGCAGCATGAGGAATACGTTTTAATGCAGTGTGTGGTTGGATCAGGAATGTACTGAAAAGGGGTGGAGTTAGATACAATGGGGCTTTCACGAAGAAAATGGATAAATACCGAAGTTAGACCATTTGTAGAGATACAAGGGAAATGGCAGGGGAGTGGGACTAGCTGAATTGTTCTTTTAGAGAGCTGGCATGTGTGGAATAGGCCCAACAACCTCCTGTCTTGCAACTGTTCTATTAGGGTGACGTATAGTTGTCAGGTCCAGTGCAGCCTGTTGGTCAATTTGAAGCCATGGTTTCGTTGAATGTATCTGATGCTGGCTGCCTGAGGGAAATCAATGTTGGAGGCACCTGAAATGGGTACCATGCCCCATAGATATTTTCTAATCAACCTGTTCAGCGATGTTATTATATACCTGTGGAGCAGATGGGATTTGAACCTAGGCACCTTGGCCCAGAGATAGGGACACTACCACTATGCTACAAAATACTAATGGTCCCCATGGTTGTCCTGCCTGCTTGCTGTCAATGTAGTAACCGAGTGGGTAATGCATTTCTGCTTTTCAACAAGGAGTGAACTTCATACCTGTTATATTGGAAGCTTAGCATTTGATAAATGGCCATAGTGCTGGAGAATTTTCAGTCTCTCACTAGAATTCTCAAGGAAATGATTAATGATGATTTTAAGCCCAGTGGAATTCCAGCTGTAACATCAACTTCCATGGGAGTAAATATTTGGGGTATGTTATCAATGATGTGCGACCTTTCAGAATTTCCCAACGGACGAAAATGTCTTTTTGGTGTTATTAGATTTTGACCATTTGAGACAATTGTTTGGACAACTAAAATAATGTACATCTCCTAATGTTTCATCAGGAACCATGGAGTTTATATTATTTGTTCCTGTCACATCAGTGATTAGACCAGTGCTTACCGCCCATTGCTGTTGTCCCAGAGGGTCACTGTGGGCCTCCTCCTTTTACTGCTGTAGTTATTGGAGTGTCGATACACTGCAGTGCTCTAAGGCAAGGAGTTCCAGGACATTAAATGGTGCTTTCTAATGTTCAAGCTGAGTTTCGGTAGTTTTCAGTCTTTGCCCCCTTTTTTTTGCTTGTCCATGGTTATTCATGGAGAAATGAAGAAAACATTTCTCAATTATTCAGCCACAAAAAAGCCATATCCACTGAGTTTAACGGGGCTGCTCTGCTTCCAGGGTAGGAGCTCTCAATCAAAAACAAAGAAACTTCATATATAATTTTCTTTTCTGTTTTTACAATTGAAGATAAAAATGAAGAACTGTGGGTGCTGGAAGTCTGAACCAAAAAAATTCCAATGTAACAGGGCTCTAGAGCCTTTTTACAGATGCTGCCAGACCTGCTGAGGTTCTCCAGCACTTTCTATCTTGATTTCAGACAACAAAGGACATTTCAAATCAAATTGTAAACACTGCAATTTCACTAAACACATCAAAGATTGACAATATATAGGTATTTAAACACGTGCTTTTGTCTTATTTATTTTATTTTTCTTCCTCTGTTTTTAAAGGTGGTGTTTATTCTGGTGTTGATACTATCAAATCTCGCTTCCTCCCCTGGCTTGGGTCCAGCTTTACTGTCCTTACGTCGGGAGTGACGTCTGACACCAGCCTTACTCTCATGAAGGTATATCAACAAATATACAATCTAACTGAGTCTTGCTCTTGCAACTGAAAATCTTTGATCATGTGGCCTGGACCTTAACTCTCTATCTTTGACTGACAGGTGAAAATGTGCTGTAGCATACATCTGAAGTTTCTTGTTATTGGGATTCAATTCCTACATCTTTCAGCCTGAAACCTTTTTGTCCACCACATTGGTGTGTGAATTGATGGTGGTGCAGGCAGGGAGACAGTACCTGTGTGAACAGCAATAGTGAGGCTATTTCCTAGCCAATCTGATTTGAGGACTGAGAAATAAATAGCGAAAGGACTGAGAAGGAAAGAAAATTAAATGGATGAATTCAAGGTGAGAGTGAATAGACGAAAAGAAATAGAGAGGTTAAGAATAATTTGACAGATGATTAAGAACAAATAAAAGCAGCTTTATATAAATTTTCTTTTGAGAACCTTTTAAAATTAAAAATCTGAATGAACATTTAATAGTTCATTTTTAGCAATGAGGTTGTTTGGCCATATATAATAGTAGTCACGTTGTTAAAAGGTTTCTTGCACTTATTACTTGCTCTAGTTACCTACTACAGCACTTTGGTTTATTACCAAATTCTGCACAAGTACAGTAACTTTATGCCTTTCAATATCTAATTCAGAAAGTGAGGTGGACAGCAAAATGCCATGAGGCACATTGGAACATGAGAAGGCCATTGGCTGGAATTTTCCCAGCCCTTGACTAGCGTGGGCAACGACCAGAAGTTTAGGTCAATGAAAAGATCTGATTCTCGACAGCAAAAAAAATTTGCTTTTTTCCTTAAGGTTTCAACAGTGAATTCTGACTTTCACTAATATGCACTAACTTGTATATTTCCATGTATTTTCATTTTTATTGGCTAATTTGGCCTTGTGGCCAAATTTTACAGGAGCTGCCCAACCAAGCTCCTATTCAATTGAAGCAAGACTGGCAAAGCTAATGACAGAGTGGTGCAAAATTGGATGTTCAAGTTTAACCACTATTCTGGCATCAAGAACAGTGGACATTATTAACTTCACCATCATTATGACAGCAGTAACACTGCACAAGAAACAACCACAGCATTTAAATTGGTACAACAAATTAAATTTTTAAGCAAGCATGGCTGGCATGGTGGCTCAGTGGTTAGCACTGCTGCCTCACAGCACTAGGGACCCAGGTTTGATTCCAGCCTCAGGTGACTGTGTATGTGGAGTTTGCACATTCTCCCTGTGTCTGCAAAAGTTTCCTTCAGGTGCTGTGGTTTCCTCCTGCAGTCCAAAGATGTGCAAGTTAGGTGGATTAGCCATGGGAAATGCAGGGTTACAGTGATGGGGTGGGTCTGGGTGAGATGCTGTTCCAAGGGTCAGTATGGACTTAATGGGCCGAGTGGCTTGCTTCCACATTGTAGGCATTCTAAGTCTTGAAATAAAGTAAGTTACATTTATAGCTTTCCCTGGTGAGCATTGCCTCTGGCCTGTGGAAATTTCTGATCGCACTCTGCACAATTTATCACTTTTTTGATTATTGGGAAATGATGTGATGCATAGATCCAAATTTCAAATATTTGCCACATATCACTACTTATTCTATAAAGGCTGTAGAAAAGTTTGAATTCTACTGAGAATTGATGAGTGCTCATTAATCATCTGTTCTGGGTAGGCCTTAGGAAAGATGCCATGGCTTTAGAATGAGTCAAGGGGAAATTTACAAAATGGTATCAGTGATAAAGGAAATCAGTTATGTGGAGACATTGGAAATGCTGGGATTTCTCTCTTTGGTGAAGAGAAAGTTAAGGGGAAATTTAATAGAAGTATTCAAAATTATGAAGGATTAGTTAAGGTAAAACTGTTTCCAATGGCACAAATCTAAGTAACCAGAGGAAACTGATTGAGGTAATTGACAACGTAACCAGAGATGAGCGGAAGTGAATTTCATGATAGATTTCATGAGTTGGATAAATAATTGGGAGTTTACAAATCACAAAGCTACGTAGAAATTGAAGGGTAGATGTTCCATGTACATATCTCTTTCAAAGACTCATTTTACAGCATGAAAGTTGCTCATCCCACCAGGTCTAAGGCTCCCTAGCTGGAGCACGAAATCAAAAAGTACTTGCTGTGTCTATCTTTATAATTAAAAGCTTTTAAATTTATTGTTTCTGCTACACTTTAAGTCCAACCCATGCACCAAAGAAGTTGTTTTTTCTCAACACTCTAGCAATAACTTGGTTATATTCTGAAATGTTGATGTGTGAAAATAGCCTACCACTGGAATAAATTCTTCCTCACTGTATACACCAGAAGGACTAGCAGTTCAGAAAGGGGCAATTATTGATGGAAGAAATGCTGACCTTTTCAGTGATATCTGCATCTCATAAAGAATAAAAGAAATTCCTATGTCCTTTGTTCTCTGCACTAAAGTTTTTAAAAAGGGAATTGTTGAAGGCAATATTGAATTGGACATTCCAACATCGTGTTCTTCCATCCACTCCCCCATCTTACTACGTAGGTATGCATTCATTGCAGCACATGACCTTCTTGGTGGGTAGGTGCCTGAAATTCTCTTTAATCAAAAGAATCTAATATTAACCTTACTACTTAAGGAGAGTCGGTGATAGAGATTCTGGTTAGATACATTCCAGCACTCATGTCAAAATATTCCCTTATGTGGATTTTTGATCACAATATTTATCAATCAATCTTAAAAAAATGCAAAATTTTCCAATACATTACCCATTATATCATGTGTTGATTCATAAACTTTCACTACGTTATGTGTCTACTTTTTGGCAGCTTGTATCTGTTTTCAGCTCCACTCATGGGCCTCATAGAGCTCTACCTTTCCTTTTTGCCTTGTTGAGATAGTTTTTCTACAGTTTGCTATTTTGGGCCAAGGCGTGGTTGGGTGGAGGGTGGTGCTTAATAGGAGTCATGGGATTATACCTGGTGTGGACTGACCACCTTGGGAGCAAGTGCCCACAATGATGAGATTTTCACGGCTGTTGTTGGAGGTGGGGGTGGGGATGTAAGGGGCTGGATGTGGTGAGCTGCATTTGGACCACCGCCAAACAAAATTTAGTGATAGTCACAGTGGCTGCTGGGTGCCAGGGCACCTTGTTTAAAAGTTTCACCTCACTGTTGTGGGACTGCATTGAAAACAGCTATAATGAATACAGAAAGTCCCGCACACACCAACTAGCACTCACCCCACCTCCCACCCCTGCACCAAGACATGAGCACCAAGACTCAACAACTTCAATTGCAATGTTTTCCCTGGGTTTCAGTGATATTGCACACTATTAGATTTCTGGGCTCTCAGCTGAAACCACATTATGAATTTTGACTGACAACCCCGAGATCCATTAGACTATTGACACGCCTGAGCCCCTGCTCTGGTTCTTTGGTCTCAGCTGTCAACTTCACAATCATTCTCTGTACGAAGTTCAGATATTTGAGTGCTTGCAGTTTTAGCTATTGATAGTTTAAAGGATCAGGATTATTGACCCTTTTTATTAGGTTATAGTGAAAATGAGTTTTTTTTCCCCAAGAAAATGTAAAGTTATTGTGGCAAAGTTTTAAAGCTTTTTTTTAAAAACACATTGTACAGTAAATTCATTGTTCACTGGGTGTGTGGGCTTACAGTGCCATAGCTTGGCATGAAGGGCCGCAGATGCTGTTCATTGAGAATAATCTTGGTACGGTTATGTCAGCTATGTATTTATGCAAGTGAAAATGAAAAGTGAGTCACCTACTGAACAGTCATCTTGTATTATTGGTGATGGTATGAATGAGATTGGTCAGCAACTTGCTTATATATAAAGTAATGTAGAAAAATGTCCCAAGGAGCTGCACAAGAATATTAGAAAGCAAACTTTAATGCCAAGCCACATAAGATGATATTAGGTCAGACTACCAAAAAATTGATCAGTGAGCAACTTAAACAACATGAGCAGCTAGAGAGGTTTAGGGAGAGAAGTCCACAGCTCAGACCCTTGGTAGAGCAATTAAAATCAGACATGTACATGAGGCCAGAATTGGAGATGACAGAGATCTTGAAGGGTTGTTAGGCTGGTCAAAATTAGAGAAAAGAGGGACTAAGTGACTGAAATGATCTGAAATTGAGATGAGAATTTTAAAATGGTGGAGTTACTTTGCTGGGACTGAGCATAATCCAAGTTTGAACTAATCTGCTCTGAAAGGCTATTATTACTAAGTGAAATTAATGGAAACAAGCAAATTTTAATTGTCTATCTTTCCTTTTTTCTACAGTTTTCTATTTTGGGTCAATGTTCATCCCCAAGGTTGGGGGTGGGGAAAGCGGGTTAATAGGAGTCATGGGATTATTCCTGGCCTGGCTGGACTACTTTGGTAAAGAGTGCCCACAAGGATGAGATTTTTGTGCCTGTTGTTGGGGGCAGGGTGGGGGTGGGGTAGGGATCTTAGGGGCTGGACGAGGTGAACTGCATTTGCACCAACTCCAAACAAGTTTTAGAGGTAGTCACGGTGGCTGCTGGGTGTCAGGGCAGCTTGTTTAAAATTTGTCAGTTAGGATAAACATTCAATCTACCTTTTTTATACTTCAATTTCTTATTTTGTTTCCCAATTCCTTTAGATGTTTGATCACAATTTTTTTGCATAACTGTGGTTCACTTTCCAGGAATCTGCTGAAAAGGATCAGAAACTGAGGGAACAAGCAACAGTCCATGAAAAAGAAATGATAGAATTGGAGACTGAATTAAATACAACACGTCGCCAACTTGGGACTATCAAACAGGAGTAAGAAAGTTAAGCTGAAAGTCAGGAATCTCCCTGATATAGAGTTGATAATTAAAGATTCTTCTGCGTTTACTTTTTGATATTGCTGAGATAATTTTTAACAAGATTTATTGAATTTTATAAGGCAAAAACGTAATAGTTGGTAAGGTGAATGTTTATAAGTCTAGTGCTTGTTGGTCATCGATCAGGGCTCATGATGGGGTCTTGTCCATCGGCTGGAGAACTGACAGGTCTTAGATTACTTCTTGGGGATGGCCTGCTGGTGTCCAGTGGCCAGTACGGGCCCTTTCAGAGACCTGGGGCTGGTGGTAGCTTCCATACACCAGAAACCCAGGAACAAAGAGGTACCATAGGCCAAAGGTGAATGAGGGAGGGGTTGCTTTTTAGTGAATATCAGCAGTCAGGACATGACCTTAAGTGCACATTAATTGCCTTAGTTGGCTTCCAGGCAGGAAGGCTGTCCATGAGTCCTGGACTTGATTAGTTGGAGGCAGGATCACCACAATGCACTCTCTCATCAGATCATATGCTCCAACCTTCCACACCCCCTCCAGGGAACATTAAATTCTGCCCTTAGGATTAAGCTTGGCTCTCTCTAATAATCCCTTCCCTCCAATGAATGTCCATTTTGGTTCACATCTGAATATGGAGAATTCAAATGAGGTATGAGAGTGGTAGAACTGCACCCCCGATAAGTACTGACTGCCTGTAGGATTGATGATACTCAGTGAGAGGGATTTAAAAAGGGAAAAAAAAACTGCTGAATTTTTTTAAGATAGTATAATAGTCTTTGTGTAATAGTTTAAACTAGGTTGCTAATTTACTAAAACATGAAATGTGAAGTAGGCTGCCATTGACGAAATTGTGCCCAACCAAAATCTACCCCAGTGTGTACATAACAGACATAGCAAAGTTATATTAGCAAAGTAGACGCAGTTGAACAAAAACATGTGTTTGGATGCACTATTATGGTTGATAATGAAAAGTGAAAATTGCTATGTTTTTATATTTTGGTCAAATTTTTTAAAAGCTTTCTTTAAATCCATTGCAGATGCATCCCCTCTGAAGCGAATGTAATCAAATTGTACTTTTTATATGTGCATCACAGAAATCAGAAAATATGTTAGATCACATCTGTTGTAACTGAAAACAAGATGCATTTCAGTATGGATTGAAACTCTGATAACTAAGCGGGGCTGTGGAATCTTACAGTTCACTGTCAAAATCCAAAATCTCCACCACTTCTCTAGACAAGACCATGAGCTACATTACCCCAAGTCACCACCATTCCTCCATCCTTTAGAATTAAAAAGTGTGCATTAATATGGTTCCATAACATTTTCCTCAATTATCCCAAAGCTTTTCACACATCATGAATTACTTGAAATATGTAGCTAAATGTGCATTTTTCATGCAAGAAATTTGCGCAAATTACAATGAAGAAAATGACCATTTAATCAGTTTGGTTTAGGATTTGCCGCTTGATGAACTTCCCAACTTCTGGAATCTTAAAAATCCACCAACCTATGGAAAAAGGAGACATCAGTTTGATGTCTACCCAGATGACAGAAGCTCCAACAATTTTGAAAAAGCTTCAATGCCCTTCCTGCTGTATGAAAGTGTCTCTACTTAAGTCAAGGAGGGCTAAACCCATACCTTCTGATGTGGAGATGCAAACCAAGTGCTGCTGGTATTCATCACCAATATGTTCCCTCCAAAATCAATTACTGTGTTCTATTCCTTTCTTTTGGGGCTTTTACCCTTTTATTTTATGTGCGCTAACAATTGCATGCAAAATCTAGTATAGAATCTGTGGAAATGTATATACATCCTTGGAAAACAAGGTGGTGTTTGAACAGAATTTTTGAAGCAATCCTATTGGATAAATACCTCAATTTGCAGGCAATGTCCTGTTAAGTGAGATTTCCATAACAGGATGTTGCTATAATTTTAACTTTGAATACCAGCTTTGCCAAGAACCTTTTCAAAACCTCTTGAAAACCTCTTGATAGATGATGTAGCACTTTTATATAATACTGCTTGATTTAAGTAATAAATTGCAATTATAAAGTGATTTTACCATATAAATGAACTCCAAAAATATTATGATATGTACTTGCTGTCCTCGGCATCTTCCCATTCATCAAATCTAGACACATTGGACATTTCCCTTATTTATCACTTTTGTTATATAATGTGAAAACGATAACATCTTATCATGCTCAGTTTATAATTCCAGCTATGATCTAAACAATCAAGTTTGACATCCATAACAAATATTATTTAATTTGTAACTGGGGAGACCATGCATCTGCCATTAGTTGAATTTGCTCTGTACCTTTCAGTATGTTTTTTGCCCACCCATTTGCTGAAAGTGTGAACCGATAATGGAGTGAAGAAAACAGGGAAATCAACAAAGTATTCCCTTGACCAGTTAGATTTAGAGATATTGGGAAATATTTGGAGGAAGGAGAGTGGATTTAAAAGTGGGGGAATGGGGATACATTCAGTGTCAAATCAATAGAGAAAGGGAGAAAAAGGAAGATTGGACTAACAGACAGAACGAAAAACGTTACATTTAAGCAATGACATTTTAAAAATCTCCTTAAGATCAAAATATGAAGGAATGAAGCATTCAGTAGCAATTGATTTTCAATACAAGAGAAGTTAATTGGCAGACAATGAAACTTACACTTAGAATGACAAACTTTAAACTTTCAATGACAAATGTAATAGGCAAATACAGTGAAACCATCCCCCAAAATACAAAATTTGGGAGGCCAAGGGTAAAATGCTATTTATACAAAATTTCTGGTGAAACAACATGACTTGGGTAGCAGGTTTTTGGTATCTGTTTTAATTGCACATCAGCTCATTTCCTGAAGTTAATAATCTTTCTTACATACATGATAGCAGCAGTATTAGCCTCGTTGCTAACTAGACAGCAAAATCTGATCTGTGCTCTTTCTCCTATTCTTTTGAAATTCGACATTCAGTTTTTGGGTCTTGTTCTTTTGGCAAAGTTGCCAGAGCTACAGGGAGTGAAACAACACGAGCACATTCTCACTTATATGGCTACACATAACTTGCCACTTGCAAATTTGATAAAGAATTGGTGAAATTATTCCTTGTATAGTAAAAGTTCAAAAATATGTCTGAGAGGCTCTATGAATATCTTGCCTTATTGGAGAAAGATTTCTTGTTTTACTCTTATTTTGAGATGTAGAGATAATGTAAATGTTACAATCCTTGCACTTTTTTGTTCTTCTATGGGATTGCTGACTAGACTTCTATTTGTTTCCAGTTCCTAATTGCCTTTGAGAAGGTGGGGCATGAATCATCTTAAACCACTGCAATCCACCTAATATAGGTGCACTTATAGTGCACTTCCTTCTCTCCTTTCTCTATTCTTTTATGGGATATAGGTATCATTTGCAAGGTCAGTTTTTTTTGCTTGATCTGATTGGCTTATTAGACCATTTAAGAGGGCAGTTAAGTGCTGTGCTGTGGATCTGGATTTACATGTAGGCCAAACCACACAAGGATGGCAGATTTTCTGGGTTGTGTTTTTAAACAATAATCAATGAGAATTTTCATGATCAACATTATTGAGACTAACTTTCAATTCCATATTATTCATTGAAGTTAAATTCTGCCAGCTGTTAAAATGGGATTTGAACCCATGCCCCCTGATCATTCGCCTGTACCTCTAGATTACTAGTCCAGTGATATCGCCAACTCGGCTACTAAATCCTGTAATTACAAGGGGGTAGAATTCAAACTAGTAACCTCTGTCCCCAAAAATTCTGAAAAATCTAGTTAAGGAAGATTCGTGAATTTGTGCTAGAAATCAACCATATGGAGGTCAGTTCAGAAGTTACTAACCAGTCCTATTGACATTTTGATCCTTTAAGTTGCTACACTGAATCATTGTTGGTCTCTGTTGTAGGTTAGCAGAAGTTCATATGGAGCTGGATGATACTCAGAACAAATCTGCTGCAACATTCCTAGCAACAGAGGATGAAATAATCCAACTGAGGGCTGAGTAAGCTTGAAATCCTTAAAATAATCTTGGTTATCTTCTTACTCCAAATGCATGTTATGTTGAAATATAGAGGGGTCAACTATAGCTTCATATTGGTACTTCAGATCCTGATGGACACCAACTTCAGGTTGATACAGTCCTCTTAGGAACGAAGCTGAGACGGAATGAAGACCTTTTTTGTTCTTTTTCTTCGATTGTTGCAACAACCCCACCCCCCAACCACACGACAGGTTAAACTTGTGGAAGATAAGGCATGTGTATAGAGTCATAGTGTCACACAGGACAGAAACAGACCCTTTGGTCCAACCAGTCCATCCTGACCATAATCCCAAAACTAAACTAGCCCCACCTGCCTGCGCTTGGCCCATATCCCTCCAATCATTTCTTATCCATGTACTTATCTAAATGTCTTTGAAACATTGTAAATGCAATCGCATCCACTACTTCCTCTATAAGTTCATTCCACACACGATACACTTCCTGTGTAAAAAAAGTTGCCCCTCATTCTTTTTTAAATCTTTCTCCTCTCACCTTAAAAATATGCCCCCCAGTATTGAAATCTCCCACTGTAGGGAAAAGACACCTGCTATTCACCTTAACTATACTCCTCATTATTTTACAAATCTCTATAAGGTTACCTCTCAGCCTCCTACACTCCAGTGAAAAAAAAATTCAGCTTCTCCTTATAACACAAACTCTCCATTCCTGGCAACATTCTGGTAAATCTCATCTGAAACCTCTCCAGCTTAATAATATCCTTCCTGTAACAGGGAGACCAGAAGTGGACACAGTACTCCAGAAGAGGCCTGACCAATATCCTGTACAACCTCAACCTGACTTCCCAACTCCTATACTCAAAGGTCTGAACAATGAAGGCAAGTGTGCTAAATGCCTTCTTAACCACCCTATCTATATGTGATGCAAATTTCAAAGAATTATTACCTGAACCCCTAGGTCTCTATGAATTGTTCTTGTTTTTGGTTCAGAACTCTTGTTGTGGAACAGAAATTTTAGCTCAAGAACAAAAGGTTAATTTATGGCAAATAGGGAAATGGTTACAGGGAGGGAGGACTTTGCTCTACCCTGACCATAAAACACATCTCTTTGTCAAAGTATCTTACTCACCCTTGATCAAGCTGCTGTGGTGGATAGATTTCCTGTATGACATTAGACTTTATGTTTTGTACATAAAAATGGCCATCACATGGCAATTGATATGGAAGTAGAGTCTATTCTATAGTTGATGAACAAACCCTGAGATTTGGATAGCATCATGGAATCTCTACTGTGCAGATAGAGGCCATTCAACTCATGGAGTCTGCACTGATCCACCACCCAGACCCACCCATTCAAACTATCCCTGTAACCCCACATTTCCTATGGCTAATCCATCCTGCCTGCACATCCCTGGATACTACGGGGCAATTTAGCATGGCCAACCCACCTAACCTGCACATCTTTGGACTATGAGAGGAAATCAGAGCACCCGGCAGAAACTCACGCAGACACGAGGGGAACATGCAAATCCACACCCGGAAGCAAACCCAGGTCCCTGGCACTGTGAGACAGCAGTGCTAACCACTGAGCCAACGTGTCCACACGGATGACAGCTATTGAAAGGCTTTACCGCGATGATGAAAAACAAAAATCAGTGTGCTCCCATATCAAAGGGCTGGTGCTTGCTATGATTGGGTTACAGCAAAGAAAATGGCTGCTACTAAATGTCCATGTGTCCACTGTTCAGCAGAATCTGGCACGTTATGATCAAGGTGATGGTGACAGTGAACTTGAATGTTATGAATTGTGCTGCTCACCTTAGCACTTGAGAGGAGCTCTTGATTTTTGTTGCTCAACTAATGAGCGCTCACAACTGTGCTGGTTAGTTACCCACCTCCTAGTATCCTCCTTGCTGGTGAAAATAAGTAGGTTCTTTGTATATTTGAGTTTGCTTTAGGACGACATATCTGATGATGGAAAATTGCAATTGACTCTTCGTAGCTGGCTCTGTGATCCAGTAGCAGTTCACTGTCTTATTGTTGAAATTGACATGTCACCAGGTCTAGAATTCTTTCCTCTAGGCTAGAGAGCCTTTCGAAACCAATGCTTTAACAAAAGCCAAATGTTGCAGATGCTGGACATCAGAAATAAAATCAGGACACGATGGAATTACTCACCAAGCCAGGCAACATCTAACAGGTCTGTCATTGTTTACTGGAAATATCAGCCCAGTTCTGTTCCTAAACGTGAGGCACCCTAGCCCTTACACCTCATCCTCCATTATCCTCCAGGCACTCTCCCCACTTACTCAAGCAATACCACTACGGCCAAAACCCAAGAGAACTGTAAAAGTACTGGAAGTCTTTGAACTGTTATAAAACTGACAAAAAAAACCAAACATTTATTCAAAACGCCCCTTGGAGCAGTAAAAGGCTTAATCATCTTAAATATGCAGAAAACTATCAAAATAAACAAACAGGCATTTTTAGAAACCACTTCAAAAAGAACATAATTTTCTCCCCAGCTTTTAAAACTCACCATTAAACTTAGGGTTTCCTTTTGTAGTTATGTAAAATCACCCCTACAGAGCTAAATCCATTAGTTGGTTTTGGAACTCAGCCAAACATTCCATAATGGAACTTCATCCCACAGCTGTGTCAGATTAGTCCCTTGAGCTGAATATATTGACAACTTTGAAACAGATGAGCAAATAGCCACCTGACTCTACCTAATAGGAGTAAGTATTTCTTCAGAGGGAGTTTGAAAGAATATTTGTTTATTATGACAGTTTTATTTGTGTGAAAGTCATTACAATATTATTATAGGGCCTATGGATTTTGCCACTGGGGACATATGAAGGATTTTTCAAAGGCTCAGTAGATCTTTGCGCTTTAAACAATAGATAGATGAAAGCTCAGTGTCCAAATGTTATATTGCAGTCAGATTCTCAATACTGTTGAATATATAAGAGCCCTTTAACATTTGATAAAATACACTAATTTTATGAACTTTTACATAATTCTGGTCGATGTAATGGTTGCTTAATTGTCAAGGAAAGAGCCAATGATTAATCACTACACTAAAACCTTGCTTAACTTGTCATCAGCATTTAATTGTTAATGTTGCTAAGAGCTTTTAAACTCAGCTGACAGGCTTTGTGGAGTCAGGAGGTGAGTTACTCAGCCACTGATCTACTCTTGTAGCTACAGTACTTGTGGCTCGTCCAGTTCAGTTTCTGGTTAGTGGTGACTACCATGTTTTGATATTTCTTGATACTTGTTGACAGATCTTGACATGTTGCACAATTCCAAGGGGTTTATGCACCATTTACATAAAATCTTCTTCACAGTTAACAGCCCCAAAGAGCACATGGCCAAACTACCCCCACTCTCAAAGCATCCTGGGACCATCTGCTGAGATACCTCAACTCTCCAAAGGGGTAACCTAACTATTCAAAAGAAATGCACTGGGAACAACCTGCTCTTAGTAGCTTCCTGCTGTGAGAAAATACCTGTATTGAGGAAGGAGCCTAAGATTATAGATGTCGAATGCAAAATGTACACTTTTACATTTCTATCATTTCCAGTATTTTGCTTTTAAGACCTTGATTTTTTTTTGCCATTCTCTGAAAGCCTATAATTGAATGCACAAGAGCATTCAGCAGGGTGAGTTGACCCTATTATATGTAAATGTTACCATGAAATCCGATGAATTTTCCTGTGGCTTTCTTTACATTTTAGAATAAGCTGTGTCCTGTATCCTCTAGGTTAAGAGCAGTTCGAGACCAAGTGAGATTTTATAAACAAAAGGTGGATGTACTGGATGACTATGAGCGACAGATCAGACAACTAAAAGATGAAGTTGCCTTCCTATCTGCAGAGAAATCCTTGCTGCAGGAAAGGTATAGCCACTTTGATCCTCCCTACAGCTCCCAGGCCTCACCTGACTTTAAAAAAATTTCTCCTTAGAGAAACATACTGTTTTGGTTTCCATGGAACAAAAGGATGCTTTTTGCAACAGCTATTACACACGCAATTGAACTCACATTTCATCAACCAGGAACAGGTTATTTGAAGGAATTCTCTTTAAGAGTAAATGCTACAAATGTCTCCTTTCTTCTAAGATTATACGTGATGAGGACTCATTTCTTCCATGGGTTTGAATTTCTAAAATTGCCTACTGATAATGGAGACAAAATTAGCACAATGAATTATGCCACTTTAAATTTCAGGCAGAAATATTACAGGTCAAAAGATACTCAGAAATGCTCATCACAAGCTGCGCACCACCCTGTCACCTGGAGAGCGCGCGCGCACACACACACACACCATGTACGCAGATATATGTAAGAATGTTAAGATTGTAATAGTAAGTGATTTTAATTTTCTAAACCTTGAATGGTACTACCATAATGTTAAAGATTTGGATGGTGAAGAATTTGTTAAATGTGTTCAACAATTCTTCTTTATCAATATGTAAATATTCCTACTAGAGAAGGAGCAAAAGTTGACCTTTTCTAGGGTAATAACGTAGGCAAGTGAATGAAGTGATAGTAGGAGAACACTTTAGATCGAGTGATCATAATTCTAGTAGTTTTAAAATAGTTATGGAAAAGGATAAGCCTTCCATAAAAGTTAAAGTTTTTTTTATTGGAGTAAGGCAAATTTTAATGGTATGAGACAAGAATGTTCAAAAGTTGATTGGAGTAACTGTTCACAGGTAAAGACACATCTCTCAATGGGAGGCATTCAAAAGTGTGATAATGAGTTCAGAGTCATTAGTATCCTGTTTGAGTGAAAGGTAAGGCTGAGAACAATGAATAAAGATATTAAGGTTCTCGTCAAGAATAAAAAAGAATCATATATTAGATATAGACAACTGGGTTCAAATGAACAGTATAAAGAGTGTAGGGGTATTCTTAAGCGGGAGATCAGGAAGGCAAAAGGGGATATGAGATGGCCTTGGCAGATAAGGTTATGGATAATCCAAAGAAATTCTATTAGTTCATTAAGAGCAAGAGAGCAACTAGAGAGAGAGTATGAAAGATCAAAGAAGGTCATCTTTATGTTGAGCCTCAGGAGATGGGAGGGATATTAAATTTTGTGTCAGTTTTTACTGTGGAGAATTAAATGGAGGCTAGAAAACTCAGAGAAATAAATATTGATCTTTCGAAAACTGTTCACGTTACTGAAGAGGAAGTGCTGGAGATCTTAGAAAATATAAAGGCGGATAAATCTCTGGGACCTAACTTAGAGTATCCCAGGACATTATGGGAAGTTAGGGAGAAAATTACAGGGCTTTTGCAGAAATATTTGTATCATCTATAACTACGGATGCTGGATGACTGGAGAGTGGCTAATGTTGTGTCTTTGTTTAAGAAAGGATATAAGGCGAAGTCTGGGAACTGTAGATCTGTGAGTCTGAGTTTGCTGGTGGATAAGTTATTGACAGTGATTCTGAAAGAAAGGATATATATGCATTTGGAGTGGCAAGGAATGATTAGGGATAGTCAGCATGGTTTTGTGTGAAGGAAACCATGTCTCACAAACTTGATTGAGTTTTTTCAGGAAGTAACCAAGAAGATTGGTGAGGGCAGAGCGGTAGACGTTGTTTACTTGGACTTTAATAATGCCTTTGACTAGGTTCCACATGGTAGACTAATTAGTAAAGTTAGTTCACGTGGGATTCAGGGTGAGTTTGCCAATTGGATACAAAAATGGCTTAACAGGAAACAGAGTGCTGGTGGAGGGTTGTTTTTTGGACTGGAGGCCTGCGACCAGCAGTGTTACACAGGGATCAGTGCTGGGTCCACTTTTGTTTGTCATTTATATAAATGATTTAGATGAGAATACAGAAGGCATGGTTAGTAAGTTTGCAGATGACACCAAAATTGGTGTTATTGTCGACAGCAAAGAAGGTTATCTAAGATTACAAAGAGATCTTGATCAATAGGTCAATGGGCTAAAGCGTAATAGATGGAGTTTAATTTGGACAAATGCAAGGTATTACATTTTGGTAAAACAAATAAGGACAGGACTCATACAATTCAAGTAAGGCCTTAGGTAGTGTTGTGGAACAGAGACCTAGGGGTTCAGTTACGTAATTGTTTGAAGTTTGCATCACGTATGGAAGCGTGGTTAAGAAGGCATTTAGTCTTGCCTTGATACTCAGATCTTTGAGCATAGGAGTTGGGATGTTATGTTGAGGTTGTACAGGATGTTGGTGAGGCCTCTTTTGGAATACTGTGTCCAGTTCTGCTTGCCCTATGATAGGAAGGATATTATTAAGCTGGAGAGGGTTCAGAAAAGACTTACCAGGATGTTGCTAGGAATGGAGAGTTTGAGTTGTAAGGAGTGGCTGGAAAGACTGGGACTTTTTTCAGTGGAGTGAGGAGGTTGAGAAGTGACCTTATAAAGGTCTATAAAATCATAAGGATATAGAAAAGGTGAGTGGCAGGTGTCTTTTCCCTAGGGTGGGAGATTTCAAGACTAGAGGCCATATTTTTAAGGTGAGAGGAGAAAGATTTAAAGACTCGAGGGGCAACTTATTTACACGGAGTTGTTCGTGTGTGGAATGAGCTTCCTGAGGAAGTGGTGGATACAGGTACAGTTACAACATTTAAAAGACATTTGAATAAGTACACAAATAAGAAATGTTTGGAAGGATATGGGCCAAGCACAGGCAGGTAGGACTAGGTTAGTTTAGGGATTATGTTCAGCTTGGATTGATGGGACCGAAGGGTCACACACACACACACACACACCCGGATTATACGGAATACACCAGTAGACCCTACTACTCATAAAAATTGCCCGCAATGTTCCCTCATTTAATTTTGGAATGGCTTCGTCTATTTTAAAGATGTTTTGTCTGAGGAAAATGTTCTGGAACATTTAAGTTCACAGCCGAGGTCCCGATCTCCAGCTGCTGCAGCAGCTGTCGTATTGTCTGATTATGTTGTTCAACAACAAAAGGTGGGTCTTCCAATTTTTTCTTTTGTTTTAGTAAATATTTAAAATAAAAGAAAACCTATTCTATAGATAGGATACCATGCAGTTCCCACCGGGCGTGAGAATTTATTACACACAACAATGTTGCAAGCCCCTTCATTCTTTTTTAAATCTGTTGTTTACTCCTGCAAGTAGAGGGTGTTTTTAGGTCTGTGCCATCAGAAGGAGACCATTCAGCCCAATGGCTACTGGCTACTCTTTGTTGAGCAATCAAATTTGTTCCACTCCCATGCTCTTTCCCAAGAGTCCCGTTTTCCACCCCCTCCCCTGTTTCTACTTTCCATTTTTAAACGAAGCAACTGTGGGTTTATCAATGACTTGATTAAATGGCCCATTCATGATTCAATGTTTTTATTGTTATGACCTGTTGAGTTTATTTCTTCAGGCAGGACACTCCAGATCATAACAATTTAGGTAAAGATGCCCTTCCAATTATTATGCCACTCCCCCACCCCCACCCAAACATCCACCCCATGCAACTTTTTTACCACTTCTCTTAGACTTGTGTCCTCTTTCTGTGACTTGGAATGAGCTGAGATTTGCTTGTCATTTAATGGCATGAATTCTGAGCTGTCTTATTCTCAGTTTCCAGTTGTGACATTAGACGTGAGTGCTGAGACACTCAAACTGAAATGTACAAATAAGAGCCAAGCTAATGTTCCAATGCCATGTTTTGCAAAAACAATTTAAAAATGATATTGGACTCCAGTATTAAAATAAACTGCGTGGTTTTCTAGTCAATTTTTAAAAAAATTATAACTAGAATTGTTTCCTCTCCTTTCTTCTGCATTATGCATCAAGGTGAATGGTGCATGACCCTGGGAAATGAAAGCAAGTAGGTTACCTAATGACATGGGCATCATAGCTGATTGTGTAATCACCCTATCCTTGTATGCACCTCCAGCAAGGCTGGATAGGAGTCAGAAGCAAGAACCCTGCCCAATTGCATTCTCTCTAATCCGGTTACTATCACTGTGAACATCAGCCATGTTTTATGGAGGTTAGCTGGATGAGATCAAAAGGCAGTGGCGTATATCTAGTTTCAAAGCAGCTGATAACTAAAAAAATGTCAAAGGCACTCCAAGACTAATCATTGAGGGATAATTCTCTCCATTATCTATTTGGGGCCAAATTGTAAATTTAAGAATGATGAACGTGTTTATGTTTTGTTACGAATTATGATAAAAGGAAATTGTGGCCCTCTGAGTCCCGTGAAGGACAAGGTGGGAAAGCTTGCTTTTTGCTCTTTGTGTACAAGAAGTATTAACCTGTTCTGAATAAATCAGTTTATTCACAGACATAGAAGAAATATCCCCACAGAATAAGGGAACAGAGAAAACAGTTTCAATCCTAAAATGCATTTTTAAAACTACCGCAATATTTATGTTGAAAATCCTAACCATGAGAAAAGATAGAGTGAATCACTGTGAAATGCCCTGGTTTGGTTTGTTTTCCTGCAGCCACCTTCAAGAGATAGCAAATGCCTGGAAAATGATATATACAGGCTATTTATAATTGCAATTCTGAGTGCTGTTCCATTTTTACATTGGGGCATGTGTAATGCCGGTGATTTATTTTCCCTTTTAGAATCTCAGGACGTCGTTCTCCCATCTGTTTTTCCTCTCTGACCAGTCACTCACCTACCAGTAGCAAACTGACTAGTGCCTCTCGTCATGCTCGACTGGTTTCCCGCTTCAATGATCTTTATGCCAATGAACGTCTGAATGCACAAAATCTCCTCAGACGTTATATTGATGATCTAGAGATGGTGCAAAAAATAATATTCATTGCCACAACAGTAAGTAGAAAGTTCTGGCTTGCATATTGTAATAAGGGTATAGAAATGCTAGAGAGGTGGGGAGCACAGTGGCTCGGTGGTTAGCACTGCTACCTCACAGTGCCAGGGGCCTATTCCAGCCTTAGGTGACCGTGTGGAGTTTACACATTCTCCCCAGGTCTGTGTGGGATTCCTCCGGGTGCTTCAGTTTCCTCCTACAGTCCAAAAGTGTGCAGGCTAAGTGGATTAGCCACGGTAAGTATGGGGATAAGATGGGGGCTGACTCTGGGTGGAATGCCCTTTAGAGATTCAATCCAGACTCAATAGGTTGAATGGCCTCTTTCCACATTGTATGAATTCTATAGAAAGTGCTTCATTGTTCAAGAATAGTACATGAACTGATTAGGTACGAGTCTTGAGAAATATTTAATAAGGAAAGGAAAGATGATCTGATAGACGTGTAAGTTATGAATTTGTTCAAAAGAATTCAGAGACGGAAGAGGTTTCTACTTGTGGACAAGTGAAAAGGAAAGTCATAAAGTTCAAGAGAATCACAAATAAATCCAATCAGAATTCAGAGGAAATGTCTTTACTCAGGGTGCTGAGAATGTGGAACTTGTTATGACGAAGTTGATTCAAATAATGTGGGTACAGTTGAGGGGGAAGTTAGAAAAGTACATGAGGGAGAAAGCAATAAAAAAGATATGCTTATTGGGTGAGATGAAAGGAAGGTTGGAGGAAGCTGATGTGAGCATGAACAGTAGCACAGACAGTTTGGGCTGAATGACTTGATTCTGAATTGTATAACAAAATAATTCTATTTGACCTTCGACAAGGTGCCGGATAGGAGGCTGCAAAATAAGATAAGAGCCCATGGGCTTAGGGACATTGATAGAGGATTGACTGACTGGCAGAAAGCAGAGCGTAGGGATAATAGGGATCTTTTTCAGGATGGCAGCTGGTAATTAGTGAAGTTCTGCATGAGACCATGTTGGGACCACAAATATTCACATTATACATTAACAATCTGGACTAAGGACTGAGGGTGTTGTTGCTAAATTTGCAGATGACACAAAAAAGGTGGTGAGACAGGTAGTGTTGAAGAGATGGGGAGGCTGCAGAAGGACATACTAGGAGAGTGGGCAAAGAAATGATAGATGGAATACAATGTGAGAAAGTGTGAGGTTATGCACTTTGGTAGGAAGAATAGAGGTGTAGACTGTTTTCCAAATGGGGAAAAGCTTCGGAAATCTGAAGCGCAAAGGGACTTGGAAGTCCCAGTTCAGGATTCGTTTAAGGTTAACACGCAGGTGGCAGTTGGGAAGGCAAATGCAATGTTAACATTCATTTCAAGAAGGCAGGAATACAAGAGCAGAGAGGTATTGCTGTGGCTGTATAGGGCTCTGGTCAGATTGCATTTGGAATATTGTGAGCAGTTTTGGGTCCCGTATCCAAGGAAGGATGTGCTGGTGTTGGTGGGTCTAGTAGAGTTTTACAAGAATGATCCTGGGAATGAAGGGCTTGTCACTTGAGGAGTGGTTGAGGACTCTGGGTCTGTACTTGATGGAGTTTAGAAAGATGTGGGGATCTGATTGAAACTTACTGAATACTGAGCGGCCTGAATAGAATGGACGTGGAGATGATATTCCCATTAGTAGGAGAGACGAGGACCTGAGCGCACAGCCTCCGAGTGAAGGGATGACCCTTTCAAACAGAGATGTGGAGCAATTTCTTCAGCCAGAGGGTGGTGCATCCATAGAACTCATTGCCGCAGAGGGCTGTGGAGGCCAAGTCGTCGAGTATATTTAAGACAGAGACGTGTAGGTTCTTGATTGGTAACAGGATCAGAGTTTATGGGGTGATGGCAGGAGATTGGAGTTGAGAAACATAATAGCCATGATTGAATGCTGGAGAAGACTCGATGGGCTGAATGGCCTAATTCTGTTCCTGTATCTTTTGGCCTTAAGGAATGGGTTGAATGAAACTCTGTGCCACCTCCCCGTTACTCACTATATGTATTGTATAATAAATGCTTGTAACCATTCAGATTTTATACAAACATTTATAAATTAAGGCTTTTAAAATCCTGAACAATTAACCATTGTTTATTGATTCACATGATGCACCCTTTTCTCTTTCTCATCTCAGTAATGTCCTGCATGATGGACTTTGTTTGTAAAAAGTTATAGCTTATTTCAAGAACAACTACATGATAATTCCAATAATTCTGAAGTTCCCTTACATAGAGAAGATCAAGGGCTGATTCAATTAACCTGTTTAAAATGTTAAAATGATTTAACAGTAGATACTAAAAGCAGCTGCAGAGAAATCATTTCCTCTGACGGGGAATCAAGACAAGGGGAAATAAAAGTTACTGTAGGGTCATTTAAGAAGAAAATAAGGAATGACTTTTTCCACACAAAGGATAGTATAATTCTGGAATTTTCTGCATCTAATGGCTTTGGGTACTGGGACAATGGGAAATTTCAAGACTAAGATCAGGTGGTGTTTATAAGGATATCAAAGGGTATGGTCTTGAATGCGGTACAGTTGAGCCAATATATATTTGAATGATTGAACAAGGTACTGAACAGCTTACTCTTTTCCCTATGTCTCTGTCAGTTAATTTATGCTGAAAGGACAGAAATGAAGGTGAATAGGTCGATAAGTTAAATGACGATTTTTAGTGATCACCTTGAGAGTTACCTAAGTATAACTGATCTATTTGATTAGTTACATTACTTCTGTTCCTCTTCCAAGTTGTTAAATGAGTGCTTTACCTTCCAAACATGTACCCATCCCTCTAGCAATTACTTGAATGAATCTCTCTTATCAGGTTGCTATCCCTAACTCGGCTCTGAACTGGCCTTGATCAAAGTTGCAAATTATGTGCTTTCACAATTGATCAGAAATATCATTCTGCATCTCCACGGCTCACATACTGCCTGACCTGTTGAGTGTTTCCAACATTTTTGTTCATTATCACAATTGATATCCTATGTATTTCGATCATATCATCTTTTTCCAAAGCTTTTCTTCTTTTGGCAAACTCACACGGGATTACTTTGCTTATCCAAACAGAACCAGCATCTTGCCAATAATGGGCTCTCTGCAAGTTCTCATACTGTTATGTCTATAAAGCCTTATCTGTCCATAATCACCTCCACTTCCTCAGTTACATGCACCCCATCAGCAATGTCACCTACAGATATTTGTTCAGGTTACATGTGACGACACTATGATAACACTTTGCCCTCTTTCTCATCTCATCTCTGCATCTTTGTTCTCAGAAGTATGACAGGAAACTTATGCTTGCTTTTATAAGAAATGTAGAGATTAACAGGTTCTTTGAGAGAGGTGTTAAAAGTTATTAAAGAATGGGAAAAAATAGATAGAAAAGACAGTCTCCAATGATTGAACAGTCCAGAACTAGAGGAGATTGATAAAAAATTAAAAGAAACATGGTCCGGACAGAAATTGGGAGAAAATTTTATATAGACGTTGAAGTTGTAGAATGCACTCCTGGATTTAGTGAATAAAGCAGAGGACATGACAACTTTTAAAAATAGTTTGAATAGGTGTTTGACGGAAAGGCAAATAAAGGAATTTGGGTACACATGGTTAGGTTTGCTGCTTTCATGGAGGATAATAAAAATCAATATGGATGGGTCAGGCTGCATTGAACATTTGTGTTGTAATTTCTTGTAATTTTAGATTTACAGGTAATTTGGGCCTTTAAAAGGCCAGTGTAAATGTGCATGACACTAAACATTGTGCGGATATGCTACAATAGTTTTGTGATGCAGATAACTGCATCATTATTTATAAGGTGGAGAAAAATCCCTTTCCAACAAATGTGTAACTTTAAGGTCATTGTAATATTTGATGCAGTGACACATGTTAGCATTGGGTGGCAGTGCAGACAGCAATATTTCTGCAGCTGGTACTGTTTTTTTTGGAGTTTGCGAAGTGGTGAGGTGTTTAAGGTTGGAGACTGGGAAGAAAGCTACTAAGTAAGTGGCAGCCAGGAGTGGCTTGTAGTCTGTTACTTACAGCAACAAGTCTGGGGCTAGTGAAGAAAGGAGAGTGCCAGTTGCTCTAACAAAACAATCCAAGGTGTTTAAATCAAAATGAAAAACTATTGTTGTGTAGTGGTAGTGTCTCTACTTTTGAGACAAAACTTCAAGTTCAGAGATAGTAGGAACTGCCAATACTGGACTCTGAGATAACAAGGTGTGGAACTGGATGAACACAGCAGGCCAGGCAGCATCAGGGGCAGGAAAGCTGACGTTTCAGGTCTGGACCCTTCTTCAGAAATCGGGGAGGGGAAGGGGACTCTGAAATAAGAGGTGGAGGTGATGGTAGAAGGTGGATAGAGGAGCAGATAGGTGGAGAGAAGACGGACAGGTCAAGGAGGCGGGGATGGAGCCAGTAAAAGTGAGTGTAGGTAGGGAGTTGGGATGAGGGTTAATCAGTCAAGGGAAGACGGACAGGTCAAGGAGGCGGGGATGAGACTAGTAGGTAGGAAGTAGGGAGGGGGGGTTGGTCAGTGAGGTGGGAGGAGCGGATAGGTGGGAGAAAAGATGGACAAGTCAAGGAGGCAGGGACGAGCTGGGCTGGTTTTGGGATGAGGTCGGGGCTTCAAAATCTCCCCACCCCCGACTTCATCCCAAAACCAGCCCAGCTCATCCCCGCCTCTTTGACCTGTCCGTCTTCCCTCCCACCTATCCATCCCTCCCTATTCACTGACCAACCCCCATCCCTACTCCCTACCTACACTCACCTTTACTGGCTCCATCCCTGCCTCCTTGACCTGTCCGTCTTCTCTCCAACTATCTGCTCCTCTATCCACCTTCTACCATTGCCTCCGCCTCTCTATTTATTTCAGAGTCCCCTTCCCCTCCCCCATTTCTGAAGAAGGGTCCAGACCTGAAAAGTCAGCTTTCCTGCTCCTCTGATGCTGCCTGGCCTGCTGTGTTCATCCAGCTCTACACCTTGTTAGTTCAAGTTCAGAGCTGTGTAATAACATATGATCAGGAATAGCTATAATCCAAAAGTTGAAACATAGTGAAAACGATGAAATGTGGAAGAAAATGTAAGGCTCAATTTTTCTTGCTTCATTACAAATTGGTGCTGCACTGTTTGCAAATTCCTGTCTTAACCTTTCAAAGAACCTGGTCATATTTCTAGGTTTGGGTTGAGTGCTGGGAATTGATGCGAATTTGTGCTTGCTGTAATTTAAGACAGAGGTTTTCTGTTTGCAGGTATCTGTTTTAACCTGCTGTCTGCTGCTAACAATTGCTGCAAAGTCAAATTTCTAGTGCATTTGGAGGGAAAAATATACTTGCCTGTGGTTAAGTGGAAACTGGGTGTTACTGATGTCACAGTACATGAATAATAAGGAGGCAGTACTAACCCCTTGCAGCTCCTATACTGGCAGAGGATCAGCAGGATCCGTAGTGGGAAGAATACATCTTTCCTGCACCAATTCCATACCATGCAAGCACTTTTTCCAATTTCAGACAGAATTTTCATTCCAGGTATATCCTGAAAGATTTTCAGACTGGGCAGATACCCAGCTTTACTGGGTTTGCTTCCTAATACTTTCAGAACTGATATGCACTCGCCATTAGTTCCAGGATGTCAACTCAAAGCGATAGCTTGAGGGTTGTGGGGTGTGTGGTGTGGTGTCAGAGGGGCAGATCAATTGATTACGTAGTTGTTGTATCTTTGAATGAAGCATTTTGAAATGAGTTTAGGAATCCTGCTTTGTAGAGGCGCTATGGTTTCTGGAGAATATCTTCTTAAGATAAGACTATTTCACAGCCTTTCAATAAGAGGGCAAACAGCCACTGAAGTAGAAGAGTTTACTTATATAATGCGCTGAAACATTTTCTCTCTCTGGTAATGGTAACTCTCCAGATAGGACTTTTTGATTGGTTTTCAGTATTTCACCCCAGTACCATTCTTCCTGTGAAAGTCTAGGCAATGAATGTCCATGGATTGCACATTGTGCAAGCCATCACATCCCCCTGAAGTAACCATCTAGCACCATGTATACAGCAAAACACTTTCCCACTTTCCTACTTAGCACAGAGGGAATAAGCAGAAAAATGTATTTATTATGGCAGTGGTTTAAAGATTATTTTCGTCTCTTAAATGAAATACAATTTAATTTTATTGTATTTTTTCTGAGGAATATAGTACACAAGTGGGCAAACAGACCAGGTTGAACTGCAGGCTTAAGTCACTAAAGTGCAATGTTAAGAAAAGTAGGAATACATCTTAAAAACACACACAGGGCAATTCTTGTTTCTAATTGAATCTTGTTTTCCATTGAACATAGGAGGCATTCCAAGCAGCCAAAATGGCCTTCCGACAATTCAAATTGCGGGTACGGAAAACACTTTCTCCTTCTCACCATGGACCAGAGTCATTGGATGAAGCTGTGATGGATTATATCATTCGTAACCAGGATCTCTATGATGTTCAGTCCAGCATTAATGTATGTATGAAGGAAAGTACACAAAAACATGTATCAAATGTATTATAGAGTCACATTTGTATAATTTATTCCACCATATTATTGAAGATAAACCAATATTTGTAATACATTTTATTTCCAAAAGACATAGTGAGAAACTCTACAAAACACTACTGAATAAGATAAAAGCCCATGGTGTTAGGGGTAGTATATTAGCATGGATAGGAGATTGGCTATCTAAAAGAAGACAGAGATTTTGGGTAAAGAGGCATTTTTCCTGTAACCAGTGGAGTGCAACAGGAATCAGTGCTGGGGCTAGAATTATTTTCACTATATATTAATAACTTGGATAATGGAAATGTATGTACAATCGCCAAGTTTGTGGATGACTCAAAAGTAGGTAGAAAGGCAAGTGGTGAAGATGTCAGAGTCTACAGAGGGATGTAGATATGCCAAGTAAGTGGGCAAGAACTTGGCAGATAGAATATAATGTGAGAAAAGTGAGATTATTCACTTTGGAAGAAAAAATAGAAGAGCTGAATATTATTTATGCATTTTATTTTGGATAAATGTGAGGTTATTCACTTCAGAAGCAAAAACGAGGTGGTAGATTACTACCTGAATGGCTGTAAATTGGGAGAGGGGAGTATGCAGTGGGACTGGGCTTCCTTGTGCACTAGTCGCTGAAAGTAAGCCTGCAGGTGCAGCAGGCAGTAAAGAAGGCAAATGGTATGCTGACTTTCATTGCGAGAGGTTTCGAGTCCAGGAGCAGGGATGTGTTGTTGCAGTTGTACAGGGCCTTGGTGAGGCCACATCTGGAATATTGTGTGCAGTTTTGGTCTTCTTTTCTGAGGAAGGGTGCGGTTGCTCTCGAGGGAGTGCAGCGAAGGTTTACCAGGCAGATTCCAGGGATGGCAAGTCTGACGTATGAGGAGAGATTGACTAGGGTGGGATTGTTTCGCTAGAGTTCAGATGAATGAAGGGCGATCCCATAAAGACTTATAAAATTCTAACAGGACTGGACAAGGTAGATGCAGGGAGGATGGTCCCGATGGTGGGTGTGTCCAGAACCAGGGGTCACAGTATGACAATTTGGGATAGACAATTTAGGACGGAGCTGAGGAGACGTTTCTTCACCCAAAGAGTGGTGAGTCTGCGGAATTCATTACCAAATGAAGTAGTTGATGCCAAAACACTGATTGTATTCAAGAGGCGACTAGATATAGCACTTTTGGGGCGAATGAGATCAAAGGTTATGGGGAGAAAGCAGGATTAGGCTATTGAGTTGGAGGATCAGCCATGATCATGAGGAATGGCGGAGCAGGCTCGAAGGGCCAAACGGCCTCCTCCTGCTCTTATCTTCTGTTTCTATATTTAAATACGGAAAGACTGCAGAAAGCTACAGCACAGAGGGACTTGAGAGTTCTCATACATGAATCACAAAAGGTTAGCATTTCAGTTCAGTGGGTAATAGGGAATGCAAATGGGATGTTGGCCTTTATTTCAAAGGGAATGAAGTATAAACAAAAGGAAGTCTTACTCTTGTATCCACAATATTTATGTGGCTAGTTCAGTTCAAATTCTGGTCAATCATAATCTTCTGATGGTGGAGCGTTCGACAATGGCAATTCCATTTAACACCAAGGGGTAATGTTCAGATTCTGTCTTGGTGAATGGAGGTGGCTGTTGCCTGGGACTTGCGTGGTGCAAATATTATTTGTCACTTATCAGGCCCAAGTTTCCTTTGAAGAGATATAATCAGTGAGGGAAAGCAGAAAATGAGCCCAGAATAGTTGGAATGAATTTTACATAGAATTAGAAATGGACCATTTAACATCTTGAATTTGTTCTGTTTATATAATCTAACACTTCTTTAATTTGTTCAACGTATAGAAAAGCAGATATAGAGAAAACAGTTTGTCTTCAAAGTACTCTTTGTCAGTATGTCACCTGCCTTGAAATATTCTAATGTCCCTGAAAATACACACACCTACCAATTCAGCCCCAATGTAAATTCGGCAGGAGTCCACATCGGGGCCAGAATCTGGGCAAATATCTAGGTATGTAAGGGGAGGTGAAGGGCTAGTGATGTTATTATTAATCTATTCATCCAGAGAGCCAGGTAATGTTCTGTTCATGGCAAATGGTGGGAATTTGAATTCAATAAAAATCTAGAATTAAGAGTTAAAGGACGACCACGAAACCATTCTCAATTGTCAGAAAAACCCACCCGGTTCACAAATGTCATTTAAGGAAGGAAAGTGCCATCATACCTGGTCTGGTCTACATGTGACTCACAGCGCCAGGGACCCAGGTTCAATTCCACCCTTGGGCAACTGTTTGTGTGGAGTTTGCACATTCTCCCAGTGTCTGCGTGGGTTTCTTCCAGGTGCTCTGGTTTCCTCCCACAGTCCAAAGATATGCAGGTTAGGTGGATTGGCTATGCTATATTGTCCATAGTATCCAGGGATATGCAACTAGGTGGTTTAGACATGGGACACGCAGGGTTACAGGGATAGGGCAGGGTGTTGGGTCTGGATAAGATGCTCTTCGGAAGATCGGTGTGGACGTGATGGGTCGTATGGCCTGCTTCCACGCTGTAGCGATTCTATGATAAGTGCAGAATTCTTAAATCAAGAAATTTCTTGACTGGGAGTCAACACAACTCAGCAAGCCCAGGGGTGAGAGGGGATTGGAACTTGCTGTGAGTTAAGTCACAAGCAGAATTATAGATGACTTCAAAAGGGTCAATATGAAAGACCAGCCTGGAAAGCATTGGAATGGTCAAGTCAAGAGGTACTGGAGGCATTGATGAGAGCTTCAGTATCAGATGAACTGAAACAGGGGCAAGGTGACATAGAAACAACCCAGTTTAGTGATAGAATGGTCAGAAGCTCATCTCAAGATCAAGATGACACTAAGATTGTGAACAGATTGGCTTAATCTCAGATTCCAACCTCGGGGAGATGGAGTCCAAAAAACCACAAGAAATAGGAACAGGAGTTAGTCAATTGGCCCCTCAAGCCTGCTCCATCATTCAATACGATCATGGCTGATCCAACATGTCTCACGTCCACTTTCCTGCCTTTTCCCCATAACCCTCGATTCCCCAACTGATCAAGAATCTATCTATTTCAGCTTTAAATATACACAATAATTCTGGCCCCTCAGCTCACTGTGGCAAGGAGTTCCAAATACACTCAACCCTCAGAAGAAGTTCTTCCTCATCACAATCCTAAATAAAATCGTCATCCCTTTATTCTAGTCCTAATCTCTCTCATGAGGAGAAACATCCTCTCAGCATTTACCCGGTCAAGCCCCTTAAGAATCCTGTATGCTTCAATGAGATCACCTCTCATTTTTTAAACTGCAGTGAGTACAGTCCTAACACAGTCATAAGACAATCATCCCAATACCTGGGATAATCCAGTGAACCTTCTCTAAACTTTTGTTTAGTCATTAATGGGATGTGCATGTTCATGGCGAGGCTAGCATTTATTATCCAACCTAATTGCTCAGCGGGCAGTTAAGAGTCAACCACGTTGTTGTGGGCCTGAAGTCACATGTAGACCAGACCAGGTATGATGGCTCTTTCCTTCCCTAAAGGACATTTGTGAACCAGGTGGGTTTTTCTGACAATTGACAATGGTTTTGTGGGCATCCTTTGACTCTTAATTCTAGATTTTAATTGAATTCAAATTCCCATCATCTGCCATGAACAGAGCATCCCCTGGCTCTCTGGATGATCTCACTACCTCTATTTCCTCCCATAAGACACTTCTGAAAAGATCCCTGATCAAGTCTTTCATGGTCTGACCTGATTTCTCCTTGGGTAGTGTAGTGTCGTACTTATTTTATAAGGCTTAGTCCGACAGCAATGTGGTTGACTTCTACTTACTTTGGAATTAGCTGGACAAACCACTCTGTTCAGCGATGTCCACATCACATGAAAAAATAAATTTTTAAAAACGTAAACATTTTACCACAGGCATGATTTTTCAGATGGCGGGGTTATCTGTCCTGCCTCACTAAGAATCAGCACCAATATTAGTCGCCTGGAGACACTTCATGTTCTAAGGACTGTTAACTGGCTGGAGATGGGGCCTGCACCCCTCATGCTGGAAGAATTTCTGTCTTAGAGTGCTGTTTGCCAGTCAATCATCCCAACATTGCCAGTTGCAGTAGCAGCCAGCACTGGACTAGAGGCAGTCCCCATAGTCAACATGCCGGGGTTCACGACCAAGGCAGTGCAGGAGCTCTCGTAATGGGATTGCGAGGTGAAACCTGGGGAAGTGGGAACAGTCGGGTGAGGGTTTGCGGAATTTTGTTGAGAAGACTGAGACACGGCATCTGGAAGAGGGGCAGACATAGGGGGTTAATGTCCTCCTCTGGTAGAGCACTGAAGTTAGGACAATTCTGCCCCTGCCATTCGTGAGGCCTGAGGAGGCTTCCCTCCTGTCCCTGAACTACCTCCACCAGCCTCAAAAACTGAGACCAGACAGAAACAGCCCGTAAGTGGTCATTAATTGCCGTAGGCCTTGCCCGTCCCACTGTAACATTGTGGACAGGTTGGGGCAGGTAGAATAGTAGCGGCAAGGCCAACCAGGGAGTTTATGCACCCTGACCCCATCCACTGCAAAACCACAAATTTCATACGAATATTTTCAATACAACTCACCAACATTTGGAGAATGGCTACTAATATACCTCTCATACAAGTATGTTCTGAAAGTTTAGTCTGTTTTGGTGAATTTTTCTAAAATTGCAAAGCAATCACTGGTCGCAACTAGCTTAAGGATTGTGTTGTGATGTTGGAGATGGAATCCACATTTTAATCCATTGTATTTTTCAGGGATATTTATAGCAGATTTACAGTCACATGTAACTATAGAATAACCTGTTTAAAAACCCCTGTATTTCAATAGGATGTGATCCGTAGCATGAGCATCAATCCAAAGATTTCCTTTCCATCTGAGGTTGACTTCATATTGATCAACAGTTTTATCCGTGACGTGTGTCGTGTAGCTTTTGCCATGCAGACGCTGGAGCCTCCACTTGATGTTGCCTTCACAACAGATGGTGAACTCTTCAATGAGAAAAAGTGAGTGTGGCCTTCTATTTATCATAATGAACTAAACCTTAGTCTCTCCAGTCAGCAAACAGCCTCCGATACATCTCGAGAAAGCATGAGCTAAGCAATGCGTCATTGCGCAAAGTTGCTGCTCCATTTCGGCAGTGGCTACACTTAAGGAGGACTGATTAGCTGTGAAACGCTTTAAGATCTTCTGAATGTGTAATACACTGTTCAAATGCAGGTCCTTTAAACAAACCTATCTTAATGTCAGAGATGTTATGTTCATAAGTAGTCCATGCCTTTCAAAAGTTCATGAATAATGAATAGCGTCCTAGTCAACGAGGGACTGTCCCCATTTTGGAGAAGAAAAGAGTCTTGACAGGTTAATATAATTTTCATATTTTAAAATTTTAATTGCAAAGGCATCAGGAGTAACCAATGGGATAGTTTTGAGATACTTTATGCTGAAGTTAAAGCACATAGAACAGTGGGTAGTACATTGGCATGGATTGGGAATTGGTTAATAAACAGGAAATAGAATGGGAATAGATGGGTTCTTTTCCGAGTGACAGGCAGTGACTAGTGGGGTACCGCAGAGATCAGTGCTTAGACCCAGCTATTTACAATATATGTAAATGACCTGGATGAGGGAACCAAATGCAACATTTCCTGATGACATAACTGGGTGAGGTTAGGGATTATGCGAAGGATGCCAGAGATTTCAGGATAATTTAGACAGGTTGAGGGAGTGGGCAAACACATAGCAGGTGCAGTACAATGTGACTGAATATGAAGTTACACACTAGTGTGAAAAACAAAGGAAGAATGTTATTTATATGGTGGTGCGTTGGGAAATGTGGATGTACAAAGAATCTGGGTGTCCTTGTACACCAACTGATTAAAATAGACAGGCAGGCCTACAAGCAATGAGGAAGGCAAAAGGTATATTGGTCTTCAGTGCAAGAAGATTTAAATTCAGAAGTAAGGATGTCTTGCTGCAGTTATACAGTGCCTTGGTGAGACCATACCTGGAGTATTGCATGCAGCTTTGGTCTCACTATCAAGAAAGGATATACTTACCATAGAAGGAGCACAGTGGAGATCCACAAGGTTTGTACTGTAAATATGGAAATTTTTATCTACCTAAATTCCTAACAACTGTTTCTAGGCACTTTTTTCCCTTTTTTAGAAAAGGGAAAAACAATGCATTAATCTAATTGTTACTTTTTCTGCAATAAACTAGTCACCATAGTCCTACCAAAACATAGGGCTACTCTGTCATTAGAGAGACAGAGAGAGACAACTAGTGGTAGTTTATCCTGAGTGTCACCACACTCAGGTGAAGGGAGAGGTTGAGAAGGACAATCCGTCATAGTAACTTCAGCTACTGTGTCAGTTGGCATCACTACTTTGCAAACCAGCCGTCCAGCCAACTCGGCTAACTGTCCCTTTTTACTTATTCTGCAATTAAAGTAAAATTGGAAGGAAGCAATTCCAGAAAGCTAATATTAATCATGCATTGCTAATTAAATGAAGCATGTTACTAGTTGAGAGGTGAATTCTTTTGGAATAAATCTCCCTTTTGTATCCCCATTGCTATTGTGCTTCTGAATTACTGTAGACTCATGAGGCGTCACTTAGACAGTCATGTTTTTCAATATTGTTTTAATTATTTTGCATTTTGATTTATTTATTCTTCAGATGCTGACAGCATTTCTGGCAAGATCAGTATTTTTTATTTATCCCAAATTACCTTGAGCAGCTTGCTGGGTTAAGAGTCAACCCCATTGTTGTGGACCTAGACTCCCAGCAAGGAAACAGATTTCCTCTCTTTGGAGGGCATTCGTAACAACAATCCAGCAGTTTCATGATTATTGTCAATGAAACTTTCATTATTTGATTTAAATTTCACTGGCAGCTGTGGCAGAATTTGAACTCCTGTCCCCAGAGCATTAGCTCAGGCCTGTAAATTACTATCTCATTAACTTAATCATGACATTACAGTGCCCCTATACAAACTGTCACTAAAATTTAAGTGATAGCAGGAAATGCAGATGCTGGAGAATCTGAGATAACAGGGTGTAGAGCTGGATGAACACAGCAGGCCAAGCAGCATCAGAGGAGCAGGAAGGCTGACATTTCAGG